AACTTACATTAAGTCTACCAATAGTCTGCTTACTTCTGATTATTTAATGAATAATGAATGGTCCGAACTATTTACTTTATTTAACAAAATTTTTTATTATTTGAAAAGAGTGTCTTGTGCATTTCATTTACTATCTCATTTGATAAGCAAGTGACATACGGCTATGGCTAATTGTAATTTATTTCTTCCTTCCTCACACCCCTCACATGCCTCCTAGCTGCGGTTTTTATCACGTTACCACCTCTATATATCTTTATATCTTTCTTATTAGTTAGTCTTAGACCCTTGAAAAGATAAAACACCTTCTACACAGACACGCAAACAGTCATTGAACGGATATCCGCTTCTGACTTTACTTTTCGTTTGGATGAGCATGTCCAGCACCGCAAAAAAAAAAAACAAATCACTGTCACCTCGAACTTAAAAATGAATCACTGAAATTGTTATCGCCGAAATTCTTGAAGCGAGTCCATCAGCAAATTGGCTTCATCCATCCGATACCTCATTCTATTCATTATTACTTAGCATGGCTTCTTATTTATGATTTCGTTAAATCTCTGAGTTATCTTTCTTTACTAATCGAAACTTGTGTAAGACGAGCAAACCAGTTGTGTTATTTTGAAAACCCCAAAATCCCATCCACCCGTTGTGTAAATATGTACGTGCAATTGGCAAAACATGAAAAACCTAAAGAACAAATTAAAAAAAATTCGAAACTACCCAAGAAAACGAAAAAAGCAACCAAAAACAAATCCTTTCTCTCTTTCTCTCTCTGTGTATGTGTTATTGTTACAGCCAAAGCGATGAGCAATCCTCCTCCACCAATACTACCACTACTACTGATCATACTAATCACGAATCCGCCACCGATTCCGATTCTAACTCCGATCCAAAGTCGAAACCCTGGCTGAGTCGCATGTTCGCCGCCTCGAACACGAACGGCGGCGATCCTAAGGATCCGGCGGTGACCGTGGGCGGTGACTTTAATGCCGCCAAGCACTTTGATTTAAAGAACGTACGACACGATTTCAATAGGCCCGCGGGCATCGCTGCCGCTCCGGGCGCACGTATAGCGAAATCCGGACGGAAAATTAGGTGAGAGGGCAGGGCCAGCTCAGCTCCGCCACGATGCGCGCGGTCAATAAACTCTATAACTACAATTAATATATCTAATCAACCTATCTACTACCCACTACTATCTGCAAATATAACTATCCTACAAATCGGAAATTAACTCTCAGTTCCGTTAACTCCTCATTTGTCTCCTCGTTTCCTTTTTATCCGTTTCCTCGATTGCGATTCTGATTTCTGTTGTTTGGCATGATGTTTGTTCCATGGTCTAGCGCCTCATGGTCCCCCGATAAGAAAACAATACACTAAACCCTACTTCTCTTAACTCCAACTTAACTATCTAACCCGCTAATCCTAGAGCACTGTTTTACTTTTCAGTCCAAAGTTTTTGTTTGCACCACGCGCGTTTTGAAAGTTTACATTTGTTTTTGATAAGTTCCCCTTTTTTGGCTCGCTAGTCCCTGTCGTATAAGAGATAACCACAGTTAACCCCGACATCTGTACTGCTCCATTCTAACCCAAGTCGTCCTGTCACCTGTACTTCAATCTGTATGTTTGTTTAAAATGCTGTTTATATACCTCAAAAACATACTACAGAACAGTTTTAAACGCTTATAGGCAGACATCTCATTATGTAGTCAATTTGCTGTTCAACGAAGCTTTAGAATAACAATCCAAATGATTCGATATCGCAGAGTCCCCTTCTTATGGGTACAATTCAATGTTTGGGTTCGGTGTGGTTTCCCTTTAAGCTGCGCTCTCGCCTTTAAGATCTCTTTCCATTTTAATCTGTATATTAATACCCTGCGCCTGCTTAATCCTCATTTCATTGAACATTTGCCATAACTGTGCTAAATCCAATCAAAGCAACTAGACTAAAGTTTAGAGCACGTGTCTAACCGAAGAAATCGAATACCGAATGTTGTGTGAACTTACATATCGACCTCTCAAGTATGCCCAGCTAATCCCATCTTTTTTGACTTCCCACAGCTACGTTGGTCGCGCCTGCGGAGCTTCCACCGCCACCGGATCCAAGGCCCAGCACATCCGTGAGCTGAACGCGCTGCTTAACGACGCGATTTCTACCTAAGGAGGTGTAGACTCGATAGTGATGAGGAGGATATGGAGACGATGAATATTAATTACGATTATATTTTGTATTGAAACGTATGCAGACTCTTTGATACGATTTTTTGCTGACGAAATTGTTAAGAGCATTGTGTGAAAGTAATGAAATGTTAAATATTAGTTTAGTGAAATTACAAGAGCAAACGGCAAACAAGTAACAAATAACACGAAATGTTTAGTGTTTAGTAAACAATCAAACCAAGAAACAAAACAAAAAAAAATACAACCACTCACAACAAGTCTTTAATGCAAACTAAAGAGCCAATATCTAGTAAATAGCCAACTCTAGGCGCATATATTTGAAGTGCTAAGAGCCCGCATAGGAGGGTAACTTTACTTTCAGAATGAATAAAACCCTTTCTAATTTTATTTCTTATTCCTATGTTTAATATTTATTTTATTGTATTATATATAATTAAACTATCTCAAGCCAAGCGAAAGGGCTCTGCAGGCCACTATTTGGACACCTTTGATCGATCGCAGGCCAAGAAATCATTTAGTGTTTTTGTTTGCCTAAGTTACACATTTTTGTTTAAATAAATGAACAAGTATAATACTTAACAATGACAAAACCAAAAGAGCTGTGCTTTAGTTCATCGCCGATTGAGGAGGCACTATCAGGGATATAGATCGCGTTTTGTATACTCCCCAGCAAACGAACTGGAATGCTTTGATCACGATTCTCAACAACTTGTGTTTGGAATTAAGCAAAGCGTTTTTATTTTTTTGGAAACCCTTTAAAGAGCGCATCTAAATGCAGCATAAATGCTTTAATTGTTTTTGATCCACGGACGGAGTCCGATCAGGACCCTCTCAAAATATTTACAAAACAAAATATATATATATTTGAAATTAATATTGCACTTTGTCTCGCACCAATATAAGATATTGAAAAGTAGAGTGATAAAGCTAAGGAAAATACAGACATTAGTGCTGCTTTTCCAATAAAAACAAATAACTTAACTATTTTACAAAAAGAGAGAACATAACGAGAGAGTATGTGTGTGCGACATTGTCGAAAATTTAACTTTAACTCTAAATTTTAATGTTACTAACAAAAAAAAATTCACAACTTTGCACCAAGTAAGTAAGTAGAATGTTTAAATAAAATATTTCAAAAGCCAGAGTTTTCAAGAGCCCTGATAAGAAAAGAGTTTGAAAAGAATGTAAAATGTGGGGATAAACACGATTTGAAAGTAAATATACAATTTACTATATAAAGCATGGTATTCAATGTCTTTTATTAAACAGGAAAGGGGGAAAACCTTTTTCAGCTTCTGGTCTAAGGAACTGATTGCTTGCGACTCAGGAACCAGTTTCTGCTTTCAATTTTACTCTCTTTTTAGCCACAACTAGATTTTCTACAGGAAGTTGGAAGACTGGCCATTAAGCATTTTCCATTTTCACTGCTCCATCATTCTATGCGCACTTTCACATGCTATCTGCAAGATGGAGCCAAGATCTTCCTGTCCTGACAACTTGGACAACGCCAATTGGGCAGGCAAAGTGCTCACTTTTGGTCAGTTTCTTTCCCCTGCTAAAGCAATTTAATCGAACATCTTCGGCAAAGTTTTTGCCTCACATTTGCCTTACTTTCTAATGTGGACAGTATATTTTTATGTCCCCCCGGTGGAACTCCTCGAGCGATCGCCGCCGAGAGTGTCTTTCTTTTGGGGCTGCTCTTTTGCGGTTTCCAGGTAATTGCGTGAAGTGTATCAGAAGCAAACAACGTGTCTGGAATTCTTTATTATTATCTGTTGACTCAAGTATTTCGCGTTTTTATAGCTGTCTCTGCCAAAAGAAGTATCACTACATGAAATGAAGTAGAAGTAAACAAAAGTTTTAGGTGCCGAAGGGTAAAGCACTCTTTTAAAATTACAAAATTATGATTGTGGAAATTGTTTTCTAAACTATAAAAAATTACTTTCTTTTCTTAATGAAATTTATTAAATCCTGCCTTTATATATGGTTTTAAAAATCAAGTTTATAAGAAATTTAATTGGCATATCTATTTGCATTTAAAAAAATTGTATTAACTCAAAATATTTAAGAGTAATCCATTAAACTCAATAAATTTTTGCTACAACTTATTTTTGACGGGATAAGTGTTACCGCAATAAAATTAAACAATAAAAAAAAAATCCGTCTGTTTTTGGTATAATAAATAAAATAAATACCTATAAATGGACGTGATTGACACAGTTATGAGGTCAAGATTATGTAAGATGTAAGATTATGGTGCCCAAGTTTTTAATAACATCTTTACATCATTTATTTCGAAACTTGACAAACAATATGATAGTATTTATGGTTTATATGATGTTTTAGATTTTTCACTTATAATTAGGTCTTTATTTGCAAAACAAATTAAAAATACAATTAAACATGTAGAAAACTAAGCTCTGAACTGAAATGATTTGGTCACAGTACACAAGGTGAGTTAGTAAATAGCCCGGAAAAAACGAAGCTCCCACAGAAAGGGTACGAAACCACGAAATATAAACAATATCTGGAAATGGGGACAGTTGTTTACCGCTATGTGCAGAGCAGTGCCTGAAAGCTCTGCCGGGATCACCCTGTGCCCGCTCCGATTCTTGGTCGAATGTGGGGCCTTCGGGCGGCTCGTCTGACCCGACCCAAAGCTTCCGAACTCTGCGCACCGTGCCCCATTGTTATGGCGAACTCTCGCACTCTCTCGCCGTCGGCGATCCATCTCCGCTCCTCTCTTCTTCCCCCAATCCCTGCCCATTCCGATCCGGCGGATCGGTCTCCGGTCTCCGTTTCAGTTTCAGTCTCATTTGAGCTATCAACCTCTTACGAGCTCCATTAGCGCGCGCTTCGGTTTTGATCGGTTCGATTTTGGATTGGTTTTGTTATTCCATATTGTTATCGAAGTTGAGAGGCTGAGTAATGTGATTGATCGCTGCCAGTGCTGCAACTTGCAATTGAGTGGAGAAATAATTAGAAAAGTAAAAGTGGAAAAGCAGAAAACCCGAAGTGAAAAATGTGGCCAGTTCCCAGTCCCAGCGGCTTCTGCCCGGGAAAGTGCACAACGGATTCGCCACTCGCGAAGCATAGATAAAATGATAATACGCCAAGGCTGATTTGTGTATGAAAGCGTGAAAGATAATACCCAGTGTCGCTCTATTCCTTACATAACATTTTGAATTGGTCTATTAGCATACAGATGAAAAGAAGTGAAACACTGAAATTGATTGATTTAAAGCTCCATTAATTGAGCACTTCGGATGCAAATATTGGATTTGGATTTCACACAAACGGACGCAATGAACGGCCTCAAAATGTAAGTGTTCTCAGACAAAAGAGTGATAAGGCGGAATTGCCTGCATTACATGCAATTGCACATAAAGAATTTCTGCCACTGATAATTGCGCGGACTTATCGGCAGTTTTCTTGGAAAAACAATAATTTCTTATTGTATGTATATGTGTACATCACACTGTTCGTTAAGAGCTATTAGCCATTTATTATTACACTTCTCGATCTGCTTGAATTTTGTGTTTTTGCGCCCTTCTTTGCCAATTTACGGCTTTGGTTGCCGGGCAGTTAGAAAGCTGCCAAAAGCAAATAAAGGTCGGCCTTTACTCTCTTTGAAAGTTGTTTATCCGGCGGATTGGGGGGAGGGGCCCAAAAGTGAAAGACGATTGATTAGCGCCGTGATGAATCTGGGTTCTTTGAGCATCCATTACTCATTTTTTCACTTGCCGCTTACAAAAAAAAAAAAATATTTTCAATATAAATAAACACATATTAAAATGGTATATTCTTAAAATTTGTACTATTTTAGGTAATTATATAAATATCTAAATTTCCAATACTTCGAGTAAATTTAAATACATTTTTCAAGCCGAACAAATTAAAATTTGTATCATTTTAACAAACGTGTATTTTGCTTTGTTTGTCACATTGAGTACTTTTCAGTTTATGTTTGAAGATAAAAAACCCATTTGTACTTTTTTTGATAAGAATATTTGACAAACTGATTGATTTTTACATTTTCGATTTATTGCTTTCGTTTTAATATTTCCGTTGAGGTTTATAACCTTTATTTTCGTTTATTTTACCAGCTTGAAATTCACATACAAAAAAAGGAGCTTCTAAAAAAATATACTTTTTTATAAAGATCTTGAAAGCTAGGACGTGGTAATAAACGATTTCTAATCATTACCCAATATTTTACAAAGTTTAATAAGGGTTTCTTTTAAATGAGAATCGAATCGATCATAGTTTATTTTTCCGTGGAATTGTTATTTGCTCACTCACAACTTACGCATGTTTGTTAAGAGCAGGGCCCAGCCTTTGCTTACCTACGGATTTCATTGTTGCACTACCAGTTTCCATTTCAATGCGAATTGAGTCGTAGTCACCGTTACAATTACCACGATTTCTTCCGGCCTCATTACAAGGCAAATACCAGTTTACACACACGATTGTGACGAGTGTAATTCTGCAATGTCTGGTGAGTTGAGTTGAGTGGAGTGGCCTGGTCATGGCTTCCGTTTCGCGTTTGTCGTCAAAGAAGAAATCACCATAATAACTCTGTTAGTTATGCAGTCGACAAATTATACCCAAAGATTATAGCGCAGAGAGGGGGCTAACCACTTTCCATTTTCATTCACATGATCTCAGAGGGGTAACCATCTTGAGATCAGCTTCTTTGCATAATAATTGTTAGATGTCTAAGTACTGGCCGTATAATTTGGAGCCCACGCCCACGACGGCCGCACACGAAATTGTGCTGCGTGGGCGTATTTGTGAACTTGTATCTCGCAGATACAAATAGATACTCGGATACTCGTAATTGTAATTGGAAGGTGCAGCTTACAGGCGCTGACAACCCTGGTCGGAATTAGCCAAAGTCTTGGGGGAATTTTCCCTGGCATTCCTCTGCTCCAACCCATGAGTCATGCCCCAAAAGCGATGCTGAAGCTGGTCAAAACCTGTAGACAGAGCTGCACAAAATTCCTCTTACTCAAGTGGTCAGCGGAAACACTGAGGATAATACATTATTATATAAGTCATTCTTATTTTATAGCATAATTGCTAACACATTTATTGAAGACAAGTGTTTAGCAATTATTATCAATTAATTATAATTAAAAAAAAAACATTTTTAAATGGAAATTATATTTTTAAGTGGAAATTACATTTAAAATTAAAAAAAATCATTTTCAACATAACTTAAAATAAATATAATAATAATAATAATCTAGGTAATTGTTTTCTAATATTCAAAATCAAATCGGGAATTTTTGTTGATCGAATAATTTAGTTGTTTGTTTTTTGGGTGAACATTATTAATAATTACATTTTTTTATTAAGATTAAGAAATCAAATACAATAGTAAAAAAGTTTATGTTTCTTGTTAATATATTTTACAAAATAAATATTTCTTGTTAATATATTTTACAAATAAACTACTATACAAGTTGTAAATATGTTTTTTCTGGGTACAGAGATGTCTTTGGGCCAGTCGCTCGGCAAATGCATTCGACGTGCCAGCCATTGAACTTTGTAGCTTGGGCATCAGCAGTTATCGGTGCAAAAAATGCAAAAAAATAAATATTAAAGCTTGACGAAACAACAATAGGAGAAACACACGCGTCATCGCTGGCATACTTGGTGACATTTTCAATGTGAAAACTGCACCGTAAATTATGTTGACTTAATCGATCGTATCTGATCGAAGTAGCGAATGCCAATGAAGCTGTTAGCTTCACCAGCAGGTTCTTTTCGGGGCTGGCCAGTATTTTTTGGCTCGTGAAATTCACCTAATTGATATGCATTCGGCATTTGGCCATAATCGCAGCTCGTGAGACAATCGTTTCACATTCAATAACTTTTTCGTGGCATGTCAAGCATTCTATATAGTTCATTGCTAAATAAACTGTGTCACCAAAGTGTGTGGGCGTTGATTTGGAGGTGCTGAAGCTAAACTTAAATGATACAGAGGGCGAACGTCAATTTTGGCCTAGAGAGTTCGTTGATCGAGCCAAATCATCGATGAGCCATCCCCTGTCCATGAATAAGTGATCAAAACTGGTTAGCAGATGGAGAGAAAGAAGTCCCGAAGCATTTCCTATAATGAGATGGAACCGCAAAAAAAGCTTTCGATATTTGCATATTTTATTCATACTAAAGGGAAATTTGCTGATGCCCATTGAGATGTAAATTATAATATTATATTTGTTTGTTTAAATATCAAATTATTAAATATCATTATTTCAAACGTATCGTGCCTAGTTTTTTCTGTATCTTAGACAGAAAGAACAAACAAAAAAATTTAATAACGAGAACTCCTAATAAAATAAATAAAAGTGGCACTTGAAAATTGAAAACAAAATGTGCAAGAAAAAGATATATAATATATATATTTTTTTGTTTTTCTTTTAAACTTTCTAAGCTCAGTTTCATAGTAAAAAATCTCAGTTTTTACATGGAAACATAATTGTAATGTTAATTATGTTATGTTGATTATGATGTATTTATGAATTTCTAAGATAATTTATAAAAAATATGAAAGAAAGAAAGTTACGACCGAGAAAACCAATTGATTTTTATTTGTATATATATTCTTAAGAAGTTAAGTAATATTTTCAATTGTAAAATATAAAGAAGGATTATAAATATATAACACACTGAAACGACATATCCAAGAATTTAAGATGAATAACAAAAATAAGTACCCACAAGATTACCATACTTCCTTGTAAACTGATTCATTAAGCCACACATTTGCTGACTTTCCCCTTGCAGTTAATTCTGTATTTTTTCGATATGGGGACTTTTGGTTTTTAACGATTAAACACGATTCCAAGCAACCAGCCACGACCAGCGACCATCGTTTGTACGTGGTTCCGATTTAATTCTGAACAAATCACGTTTGGGGGCTGAGATGGGGACTCGAAAACCCGAAGACCCCTGCCAAGGCCAACTAAGCCGGCTTTAATCTGCAAATACGTATTTTTTACAACACTTTTCCATTAGATTTTCCATCCGTTTCGCTTCGCAGGGCGGTGGACAAAAAGAAAAGATTGCATGCAACAGGCGACACTTGATGACAGTTGGAAAGTGCTTTAAATTTATTTACTACGCCCAGATTTCATCTCTTTGCTACTCTCTCTCTCAGCAGTTGTACAATAAATTAAATAGACCAAACAAAAAGAAGAAGCTGTGATTTTTCTTACGCTACGGTTTCGTCAGCTGAAATGGTAACGATAATTAAAGTTTTGCATTACCGCAGCTGTCGGTGATTAATGGGCATTGTTTCGCATACGCCCCGTTGCCCCACCACCGAAACCCAACCCAAAACCGCCCCTAAGAAAAAAAAAACCAGAAATTAAAATGAAAACGAAATCAGCCGAAGGAAAATCAGCCACTTAATGCAAATTACAGAGACAGATACAAAGATACAGATGCGAAGATACGGCGGGCAACAAGTGTCTGTTGTGGAAACAAAGTTGCCACATGTGGCAACTGAATAACCGGGTGCTCCAGCCTCATAAACAGCCGCCCCAGATGATGATCAGACCCACCATAATGACGATGATCCATCCACTCAAGTACAAAGCGGTTGCGCTGACAAGCCCATGTATGGGCGTTGGGTTTTTTCAGCTTTTTTAAAGTATCTCTCCGCTCGCTGTTTTTCGCATTGCATTGAATGGAAATGAAAATGAAAAGGAAAATGAAAACCAGGTTTGCAGGTCGCTCAGATTTTTGAGTTTTTCGTGTGCGCCGAAACTTTGCGAAATGCTAAAATTCCTTTTAGCTCTGTGCCACTTCCACGGTGGGTTTCTTAACCCATTCAATTTTCTAGATAGTATTACTACATAGTCAATCAAATACATTTTTCTAATATAATTTTCTAAGCTAATGGTACTTTTACATTTAATTCCTTGCAACAGAGCATTTTTTTATAGTTTGTATAAAGAAAATCTGTCTTCTTGTATAATAATAATTTAAATTAAATAATTGATAAATGTTGTTAAAATAAGGTATTATTTCTTTTAAAATTACATATATGTACATTTATTTGTTTATAAGTAACATCTAATATTACATGCTTAAAGTGAGATTATATTTTCTGTTTTTAATTTCCTTAAAATTCTGATTTTATATATTTAATTTAAAAATTATAAATTTGTGAGTATTTGATTATTTTATTAGAAAGTCATTATATGAGTAATAGTTCCCTTTTTAGCCACTTGCCAATATGAATTTAGTAAACAATTTTATATCGTATACAAATGATTTTGCAACTAAATAGGACATATTATTATTTTA